CAAGACATGAGAACTATTAAGGTAGTACAGGACATGATTGGTGAATGGGACCCACAAATGATGCATGCATTGTGGTTCCAGAATGCACTTGATGGAGTGATAGAATCCTACAAAAGCCTCCTCACGCATATGGAAAGACAGCGCCAGCAACTGCCTATCACGATGTTCTTCAGTAGCACACCCAGACACCCACTGCCTACTAGAAGAAGGTGACAACACACCTGCTGATGATACCACACCACCTGAGGACTCTCCTACTGAGGTGCCTTCAGCAGAGCAGTAACCTTGCTCTTCTTTGCTGTGCCATACATCTCTTCCTCTTCATCACTTCATTATCAAACAAGTTGCACTATTTTTATAGGTTAGTGGTTGTGTGTAAGAACTGTGTGTGTGTAATTAAATGTACAATAATAATATGATATTTGTAACATCTAATATGTCTTATTTTCTCTTATTTTGTCTAATATATTGGGTAATACAAGTGTAATGGTGACCAAAGGGTGTTATTTCACGGCTAGAGGGCTCTAATAATGTTAAAAAAACTTATTTAGAAGGTTGTAAACAGGTTTTCTATGCTCTAACTGCAAAAATATTCAATTAATAAGTACAGAATCCTACTTCACAGAAATTTATTTATCGCAGTAGAGTCTGGAACTGATTAACCACAATAAACGAGGGCCAACTGTACTTACTCTTTCATCTCCAAACTCCACTTCTCTAACATTAGTCTAAAATCAAGGCAACCAACTGAATGGGAGAAGATAGTTGCAAACAATACCTCCAGTGAGGGGCTAATATCCAAAATATACAAAGAACTCACACAACTCAACAACAACAAAAAATATAAGGGGCAGAGGACCTGAACAGACACTTTTCCCAAGAAGACATACAAATGGCCAGTAGATATATGAAAAGATGTTCAATTTCACTAGCTGGAAGGGAAATGCACAACAAAACCACAATAAGATACTACCTCACACCTGTTAAAATGGCTATAATCAATAAGACAAAAAATAGAATAATAATAATAAATCAATCGACTTCCAGTCAAGATGGCAGGTAGATAAACACGGTATCGCGTCCTCCCACAACCACATCAAAATTACAACTAAACTACAGAACAACCATCATTCAAAACCGCCTGAAATCAAGCTGAATGGAAGTCCTAGAACTACGGAATTAAAGCAGCAACCACATGGAGACTGGTAGGAGGGGCGGAGGGGACGGGCTGGGCCCACACCCACGTGTGGTGGATAAAAATCAGGAGGACACCTCGGCTGGGAAGGTCCTACCTGAGGACTGAGGGGTCCCCCTTCCACAGCAGATGCCTCACTCAGGGTTCCAGTGCCAGGAAGAGAGTCCCCATAACTTCTGGCTGGAAAAACCAGTGGGAACTGAGACTCAAGGAAGCTGATGCAGCTGGAGCCCCAGGCAGCTCCTTAAAGGGCCCACGCATGGACTTATCAGACTCTCTCCCTCTAAGCTTGGAGGGGAGGCAGCTCGAGGGGCACCAGAGACATACAGGGAAGAACTGAGCTCTTTGGCTTTCTCCAGGACAAACATGCTATCAGAGGCCTTTGTTCCTTTGGTGAGCCCTTCCCTGGGGCGGCAGACAGTCGCCATATCTGGGACTCCAGCAACCTGGCTCACACTGTTAACCCCGCCCTGGTGACTCCCTGAGGCCCCGCCCCACCCAACTTTCAGGCCCACCCAAGCTGTTTCCAGTTGTTTAACCATAGGATTGGCCTGTCTTGGATCCTGCTTCAGGTTTTTCCTAAATTCTTTCAAACAAGCAGCATCTGGTCTCAGATAGCCCCATACCTCTCGTTAAGTAATACACAGAAACAAACACAGAGAGGCAGCCAAAATGGGGAGACAAAGAAACAGGTCCCAAATGAAAGAACAGAACAAAACCCCAAGAAAAGAACTAAGCGAAATGGAGATAAGCAACCTAACAGATGCTGAGTTCAAAACACTGCTTATAAGGATGCTCTATGAACTTAGTGAGGGCCTCAAGAGCATAAAAAAGGACCAGTCAGAAATGATGGATGCACAGTCAGAAATGAAGGAGGCATTAACTGAAATAAAGAATAATTTACACAGATTCAATAGTAGAGTACGTAAATCCAAGAAGCAAACCATCAATTTGGAATATAAGGAAGCAAAAAACGCCCAATCAGAACAGCAAAAAGAAATCCCCCAAAATGAGGATAGTGTAAGGAGCCTCTGGGACAACTTCAAGCATGCCAACATTCGCATCTTGGGGGTGCCAGAAGGAGAAGAGAGAGAACAAGAAATTGAAAACCTGTTTGAAACAATAATGGCAGAAAACTTCCCTAACTTGGTGAAGGAAACAGACATACAAATCCAGGAAGCACAGAGAGTCCCAAACAAGATGAACCCCAAGAGGCCCACACCAAGACACATCATCATCAAAATGCAAAAGGTTCAAGACAAAGAGAGAATCTTAAAAGCAGCAAGAGAAAAGCAGTTAGTTACCTACAAGGGAGTTCCCATAAGGCTGTCAACTGATTTCTCAAAAGAAACTTTGCAGGCCAGAAGGGAGTGGCAAGAAATATTCAGAGTGATGAAAAGCAAGAACCTACAACCAAGATTACTCGATCCTGCAAAGCTGTCATTTAGAATCAATGGCCATATAAAGACTTTCCCAGACAAGAAAAAGTTAAAGGAGTTCATCACCACCAAACCGTTATTATATGAAATGTTGAAGGGTCTTTTTGAAGAAAAAGATAAAATATATGAACAAACAAAATGGAAATGAATACATATCTATCGATAATGGAATCTACAAACAAAATGAACAGGCAGAACAGAAACATTCTCATGGATACAGAGAACATTTAGTTGGTTGCCAGATGGGAGGGGGTTTGGGGGAATGGGTGAAAAGGGTGAAGAGATTAAGAAGTACAAATTCATTGCTAGACTGACAAACCTCAAAGGGAAAGGAGTTGGGGGGTGGGAAGAAATAAACCAAAGAACTTATATGTATAACCAATGAACACAGACAATAGTGTGGGGAAAGGCGGGAGGGGGGTGGGAGTGGGGAGGAGGGGGTTAATGGGGGAAAAATGAGGAACATCTGTAATACATTCAACAATAAAGAGTTAAAAAAAAATAAGACAAAAAATAATAAGTGTTGAAGGGGATGTGGAATAAGAGGAATCCACATACACCGCTGCTGGGAATGTAAACTGGTACACACACTGTGGAAAACAGCATGCAGGTTTCTAAAAAATTAAGAATAGAGCTACCATATGACCCTGTAAACCCTCTTCTGGATCTCTACCCTACATTTTTAAAAACATTTACTCATAAATATCTATATACCCCTGTGTTCACTGCAACATTATTTACCATGGCCAAGACATGGAAGCAGCCTAAGTGAACAATTGGGTAACAAAGATGTGGTCCATATATACAATGGGATACTACTCAGCTAGAAGAAAGCATGAAATTTGGGGAAACATGGTAGATCATGAGAGTATCATGCTAAGCAAAATAAGTCAGATGGAAAGGACAAAAACCATGATTTCACTGACATGCAAGATATAAAACAGAAAGCAACCAACAAACTCATAGACACAGACAACAGTATGGAGGTTATCTTAGGGGAAAGGGGGTGGGGAAAGGATGAAGAAAATGAAGAGGTTCAAATATATGGTGACAAAAAGAGATTAGACTTTGGTTGGTGAGCACACAGTGCAATATACAGATGTATTATACAATTGTACACTTGAAACTTATGTAACTATTAACTAATGTTACCCCAGTACATTTAATTTTTTTTTAAATAAAGGATTTGCCCTGGCTGGTTTGGCTCAGCAGTTAGAGCGTTGGCCTGCAGACCAAAGAGTCACGGTTTGAGTCTGCTCAAGGGCACATACTTCGGTTGCAGTGCAGTCCCTGGCCTTGGTTGGGTCATGTGGGAGGCAAACAGTCGATGTGTCTTTCTCACGTCGATATTTCTCTCTCTCTCTCTCCCTCCCACTCTATCTGAAGATAAATGGAAAAATATCCTCGGGTGAGGATTGAAAAAAAATGAAGGATTTATGAATAAATGTGCTCAACATGATGTCGTCTAGATCATCAGAAACTGATAGAACACAAATGCTTGACAATAGGTATTTATTTTAAAGAAGAGCTGTACAATTGTGGAAAACCATGTTTTGTGAAATATTTACATGATTAAATGAGGGTGGGACAAGATGGGTAACAAAAGGTGGATGATTCGAAATGTGAGGGAAAAAATGTTTATATTAAATATGCAAACCAACTAAAAAGATAATATGACCTTGAACAATGTGAGGCTTAGGAGCACCAACACTGACACACTTGAAAATCCACTTACAACATTTGACTCCCCCAGGACTTAACTACAATTGGCCCTTAGCTTCCACAGATTCAAGCAATGGCAGTTAGAAAACAGTACTTTTTTTAATGCTGGGTGTGGAAATGCAAAAATATTGTTTAAATCCGCAATTAATTAAAGCTGCAGATGAGAAATCTCAGGATACCCAAGAGTCAACAGTATTTATGGAAAACAATCAGAGTATAAGTGGACCTGCACAATTCAAATCTATGTTGTTCAAGGCCAACTATACAATGAGACACAGGTTAATTCTATACAGTGGGGTTATCATCATTTTTAACCTATATTTTTTTCTTTCTTCTGTAAATTGTTTTGTAATTAGAAAACAGAACTAGATTACATCTTTCAGGGGAAAAAAATCTGTTTGTAAAAGAGAGGGTTAGTTAGGTGACAGGAAGGGCAGTCTCTGCAGAAGCCAAGCCCCACAGAGAACAGGCCATGGGAAGGGGCAGGCACAGGGGAGGAAACAACTACTCCTTGCCCTGCCCTGACCTGCCCTCGCCAGGGGAGGCAGGGAGGAGCCCGGGACAACCTTTCTTCCTTCCCTCCTCTCACCAGCTTCCCAGGAAGGTCTGTGCCAGACGTAGAGCTCACTGCTCAGGTCAGAGTCATGCCAACCCAGGCTCTGCTGCCCATCCTGCTTCTCTGTGTCCTGCTGCTGCAGGCCCAGGGAGGGCTCTTTAATCGGAACAAGAAGCCAAGTAGGTGATGGGCTGGGGGGACAGGGATGGGGAGGGGGAAGGAGGGACTATGTCCAGCTAAGGAGGACTTGGGACTTGGAACCTTTCAGCACATCCAGCTCCAACCACATCACTATGAAGACTCTGGTTTCTTTCAAGCCATTGCCCTCTAGCCCTTTACCCGACCCTGGGACTAGTGACTGGGGTGGAGGGAACCTACATATTTTTATTCTCCATTCCAAAAATCCAGAGAGATATGGTACATACAAGAGTGAAAGGTGCACAGGCTGAGAATTCCTTAGTTTCTGCACATATGTGACAAGTATACATCCAGAGAGGCTTATGAGAGTAGGTCTAGAATGAAAGCACATTGGGAAAGCAATTTTTGAGAGGGTAAGGGTCAAGTTAAAATTATTATCAGAGGACCAGGATGATGATAGTGGAAGGAAAATATTACAAGTGTTATTTTGTTTTGTTTTTTATTAATTTATTTTTTTTACAAATATTTCTCCTATTTCCCCCATTGACACCCTCCTCCCAATCACACCCTTCATCCCCAGCATTGTTGTCTATGTCCATGGTTATGCACACATGCATATAAGTTCTGTGGTTTATCTCTTCCCTCCCCTCTTCTGAGGTTTGTCAGTTTGTACCCTACTTCTACGTCTCTGGGTCTATTTTGTTCATCAGCTTGTTTTGTTCATTATATTTCACAAATAAGTGAGATCATGTGCTATTTGTATTTCTCTGATTGGCTTGTTTCACTTAGGATAATACTCTCCAGGTCCCTCCATGTCATCTCAAAGGATAAGAGATCTTTCTGTCTAACAGCTGCATAGTATTCCATTGTGTATATGTACCACAGCTTTTTTATCCACTCATCTATTGATGGACACTTGGGCTGTTCCAGATCTTAGCGATTGTAAATAGTGCTGCTACGAACATGGGGGTACATAGATTCTTTCTGATTGGTGTTTCAGGCTTCTTAGTGTATATTCCTAAAAGTGGGATCACTGGGTCAAATGGCAGTTCAATTTTAAATTTTTTAAGGTAACACCACATTGTTTTCCATAGTGGCTGCAACAGTCTGCATTCCCACCACTTGTTGTGTGATGATTTGTTGATGGCAGCCATTCTGACAGGTGTGAGGTGATACCTCATAGTTGTTTTCATTTGCGTCTCTCTGATGATTAGTGAGCATTTTTTCATATGTCTCTTGGTCATCTGTATGTCCTGTTTGGAGAGGTGTCTATTTGGGTTCTCTGCCCATTTTTTAATTGTGTTCTTTATCTTCCTTTTGTTGAGTTGTATGAGAACTCTATATGTTTGGGAAATCAACCCCTTATGTGATATATCATTGGCAATTATGCTCTCCCATATAGTGGGTAGCCTTTCCATTTTAATGCTTGTTTCTTTTGCTGTGCAGTTTTTTAGTTTGATGTAGTCCCATGTGTTCATTTTTTCCTTTGTTTCTCTTGCCTTAGGTATTGTATCAGTGAAAGTTCTGCTGCGTGTGATGTCTGAAATTTTGTTGCCTACATTTTCTTCTAGGATTTTTATGGATTTACAAGTCACATTTAAGTGTTTTATCCATTTTGAGTTGATTCTTGTATATGGTGTAAGTTGGTGGTCTAGCTACATTCTTTTGCATGTAGCTGTCCAATTTTCCCAACACCACTATTGAAGAGGCTGTCTTGACTCCACTGTATGCTCTTGCCACCTTTGTCAAATACTAATTGAGCATACTGTCTCAGGTCAATTTCTGGGTTCTCTGTTCTGTTCCATTGATCTATATGCTTGTTCTTGTGCTAGTACCAGGCTGTTTTGATTACAATGGCTTTGTAGTATAAACTGATATCCGGTATTATGATCCCTCCTACTTTGTTCTTCTTTTTCAAGATTGCTGTGGCTATTCGAGGTCTTTTTTTTTTTTTTTTTTTTTTTTGGTTCCATATAAACTTTTGGAGTATTTGGTCTAGTTCTGTGAAGTATGTCATTGGTATTTTGATGGAGATTGCATTGAATCTATAGATTGCTTTGGGTAGTATGGACATTTTAATGATGTTAATTCTTCCAATCCATGAACAAGGTATGTGCTTCCACTTTTTTACATTTTTCTCTGTTTCTTTTTTCAGTGACCTGTAGTTTTCTGTGAAGAGGCCCTTTACTTCTTTGGTTAAGTTTATTCCTAGGTATCTTAAATTTTTTGCCACAATGGTAAATGGGATTGTTTTTGTTAGTTTCTCTTTCTGTCAGTTCATCGTTGGTGTATAAGAATGCCATCAATTTCTTGACGTTAATTTTGTATCTTGCTACTTTGCCAAATTCATTTATTAAACCTAGTAGATTTTTTATGAAGTCTTTAGGGTTTTCTATGTACAATATCATATCATGCAAATAATGACAGTTCCTTCTTCCTTTTCAATTTGGATTCCTTTTATTTGTTCTTCAGGTCTAATTGCTGTGTCTAGGACTTCCAGTACTATGTTAAATAAGAGTAACAAAAGTGGGCATCACTGTCTTGTTCCTGTTCTTAAGGGAAATGCTTTTAGTTGTTGCCCATTGAGTATGATGTTGGCTGTAGGTTTTTTATTTATGGCCTTTATTATGTCAAGATACAATCCCTCTATTCCCACATTGCTGAGCATTTTTATCAGATATAGGTGCTGGATTTTGTCAAATGCTTTTTCAGCATCTATTGATATGATCATATGGTTTTCATCTTTCATTTTGTTTATGTGCTGTCTCACATCTATTGATTTGCAAATATTGTACCATCCTTGTACCCCTGGGATGAATCCCACTTGGCCATGTTGAAAAACTTTTTTAATGTATTGCTGGATCCGATTTGCTAATATTTTGTTAAGGAGTTTGGCAACTGTGTTCATCAGGGATATTGGCCTCATAAAATGAGTTTGGAAGCCTTCCGTCTTCTTGGACTTTTTGGAATAATTTGAGGAGAATGAGTAACAGACCTTCTTTGAATGTTCGGTGAAACTCCCCTGTGAAGTCATCCGGGCCTGGGCTTTTGTTTGCTGGGAGTTTCTTTATTACATGTTTTATTTCCTTAGTTGTTATTGTCTGTTCAAGTTTTCTATCTCTTCCCAGTTCATTTTTGGGAGACAATGTGTTTCTAAAAATTTGTCCATTTCACCTAGATTGCCCAATTTTTTGGTGTATAATTGTTCATAGTATGTTTTTTTTTATTATTATTAATTAATTGTTACAGATGTTTATCCTTTTTCTCCCACTGATTCCCCCCTCCCTTCCCTCCCTGCCCTGTCCCCAGCTTTGTTGTCCATGTCCATTGTTCATGCATACATGCATATAAGTTCTGTGGTTTATCTCTCCCCCCCACCCCCTCTTCTGGGGATTGTCAGTCTGTACCCCACTTCCACGTCTCTGGGACTACCCCATTCCTCAGACTGTTATGTCCATTATATTCCACAAATAAGTAGATCATAAGATACTTGTCTTTCTTTGTTTGGCTTGTTTCGCTTAGGATAATACTTTCCAGGTCCCTCCATGTAGTCTCAAAAGATAAGAGATCTTTCTTTCTTACAGCTGTGTAGTACTCCATTGTGTATATGTACCACAGCTTTTTTATCCATTCATCTACTGATGGACACTTGGGCTGTTTCCAGATCTTAGCTATTGTAAATAGTGCTGCTACAAACATGGGGATACATATATTCTTTCTGATTGGTGTTTCAGGCTTCTTAGGGTATATTCCTAGAAGTGGGAACAGGGGGTCAAATGGAAGTTCAATTTTTAATTTTTTGAGTTTGATGTAGTCCCATGTGTTCATTTTCTCCTTTGTTTCTATTGCCTTAGGTGATGTATCAGTAAAATTTTGCTGCATATGATGTCTGAAATTTTGTTGCCTACAGTTTCTTCTAGGATTTTTATGGATTCATGAGTCACATTTAAGTCTTTTATCCATTTTGAGTTTATTCTTGTGTAGGGTGTAAGTTGATGGTCTAGTTTTATTTTTCTGCATGTAGCTGCCCAATTTTTCCAACACCATTTATTAAAGAGGCTGTCCTTACTCCACTGTATGCTCTTGCCACCTTTGTCAAATATTAATTGAGCATATTGCCTTGGGTCCATTTCTGGGTTCTCTGTTCCATAGTATATTTTGATGATCCTTTGCATTTCTGTTATGTCAGTTGCTGCTTCTCCTCTTTTTTTCTGATTTTTTGTATTTGGGTCCTCTCTTTTTGTTTCTTGGTGAGTCTGGCTAAGGGTCCATCAATCTTGTTTATCTTTTCAAAGAACCAGCTCTTTGTTTTACTGATTTAAAAAAAATTTTTTTTAGTTTATATGTCTTTTATTTCTGTTCTGATCTTTACTATTTCTTTTCTTCTACTTGCTCTGGGGTTTTGTTTGTTTGTTTGTTTGTTTGCTTGTTTGTTTACTTTATAGTTCTTTAAGTTGTAGGGTTAGAAAGTCAATTAGGAATTTTAATTGTTTTTTGAGATAGGCCTATGAACTTCCCTCGCAGGACAGCTTTTGCTGCATCCCATAGACTTCGTGTTGTTGTGTGTTTGTTTTCATTGGTTTTCAGGAAGTTTTTAATTTCTTCCTTGATCTTCTTGGTAACCCATTCATTGTTTAATAACATGCTATTTAGCTTCCAAGTGTTTGAATGTGTTTGTGTGTTTTTGTTGTAATTGATTTCTAGTTTCATGCCATTGTGATCTGAGAAGATGCTTGATATGATTCCAATCTTCTTGAATTTGTAGAGACTTACTTTGTGTCCTAACATGTGGTCTATCTTTGAGAATGTCTTGTGTGCACTGGAGAAGAATGTATATTCTGCAGCTTTGGGCTGAAATGTTTTGTAAATATCAAGTCCAACTGATCTAGTTCATCATTTAAGGACTCTGGTCTTATTAATTTTTTGTCTAGAAGATCTATTCACTGGTATCAGTGGGGTGTTAAAGTCATCCACTATGATTGTATTGCTATTGATCTCTTAATGTCCTCCAGAAGTTTTTAAATATATTTTGGTGCTCCCGTATTTGATGCGTATATGTTTACCAGGGTTATATCCTCTTGTTGGATTGATCCTTTTAATATTATGTAGTGACCTTCTTTGTCTCTTATTATGACCCTCGTTTTGAAGTCTATCTTATCAGATATGAGTATTGTTACACCAGCTTTTTTAAATTTCCATTTGCTTGGAAAAATTTTTTCCATCCCTTCACTTTCATCCTGTGTGAGTCTTTTGTTGTGAGGTGGGTCTCTTGTAGACAGCATATATATGGGTTGTGTTTTCTTATCCAATCAGCTACCCTATGTCTTTTGATTGGAGCATTTAAGCCATTTACATTTCAGGTTATTATTGATAGATACTTACTAGTTGCCATTTTTATTTTATGCCTGTGTTCCTCTCTCTCTCTCTCTCTCTCTCTCTCTCTCTCTCTCTCTCTCCTCCTCTTCCCTCTCCTCCTTCTTAACTTCTTCTTCTTCTTCTTCTTCTTCTTCTTCTTCTTCTCCTTCTCCTTCTCCTTCTCCTTCTCCTTCTCCTTCTCCTTCTCCTTCTCCTTCTCCTTCTCCTTCTCCTTCTCCTTCTCCTTCTCCTTCTCCTTCTCCTTCTCCTTCTCCTTCTCCTTCTCCTTCTCCTTCTCCTTCCAACAGTCCCTTCAGCATTTCTTGCAGTGCTGGTTTGATGGTGATAAATTCCTTTAGTGTTTTTATTTGTTTGTTTGGTTGGTTTTTTTTGTCTGTGAAGCTCTTTATTTCACCTTCAATTTTGAATGATAGCCTTGTTAGATTCAGACCCTTGCCTTTTATTACTTTGTATATTTAATGACACTCCCTTCTGGCCTGCAGTGTTTCTATTGAGAAATCAGTTGACAGTCTAATGGGAGCTCCTTTGTAGGTAACTTTCTGTCTCTCTCTCACTCTCTTCAAGATTTTTTCATTGTCTTTAATGTTTGCCATTTTAATTCTGATGTGTTTAGGTGTGGGGATTTTTGGGTTCCTCTTACTTGGAACCCTCTGTGTTCCATGGATTTGTGTGACTTTTTTCTTCACCAATTTAGAGAAGTTTTCTGTCATTATTTCTTCAAACAGATTCTCCATTCCTTTCTCTGATTCTTCTCCTTTCAATATCCCTATGATGCAAATATTGTTACATTTTGTATTGTCCCATAGCTCTCTTAAACTCTCCTCCTGCTTTTTCTTTTTCTTTTTTTCCCATTTGCTGCTCTATTTGGTTGGTTTTTTAATACTTTTTCTTCTAACTCGCTGCTTCTGTCTTCAGCTTCTTCTAATCTATGATTGAATCATTCTAAGGTATTTTTCATAACAGCTATGTTATTCTCTATTTACTCTTGACTTTTATTCATAGCTTCTACCTCTTTTTTTAAGCTGATGTAGTTCCCACTGAGCTCTTCATACTTTTTATTAAGTTGCCTGTAGTTCTCACTAAATTGTTTGAGCACCCTTAAAATCATTGCTTTGAATTCTTTATCTGACAAATTGCTTTCTTCCATTTTCTGTAGTTCCTTTTCTGGTGATTCCTTTTTTTCCCTTTCATTTGGGTGGGTTGTTTCTGTGTCTCACCATTTTAGCAGTCTGGTAGTTCTAGGCCCAGTGAGGGATATTGGATGTGCAGGTAGGTCGACGTGTATCAAATAAGGCTACTGTGCCTCCCAAACTGTTTTGATGTGTGGCGCCTCATGCCTGCTGTGTGTTCCGGAGGATTGACAACTGGCAGCTAGTATTGGTTTGTCATGGTAGGTGCTCCTGGATTGCATGGGCCCAGCTGGTGCCCTGCTGTGGTGCGTGGGTCCCACTGGTGTGTTGCTTGGGTGTGTAGGTCCTTCTGGGGCTCTGCTGAGGTACACTGCTGCTTGGTGGGGCTCAGCTGCTGATCAGTCACTGCTGATGCTGCTAGGGGTGAGTGTTAGCTCCTGGTTTGCATTGCTACTGCTACTGCTGCTGCTGTTGCCAGGAGGTGCTTTCAGCTCCCATTCTCAGCTGTTGTTGGGGGCTGAGGATGCTCATCTCCCTTGACTTTGCTGGGGGAAGGACTCCACTCCAAATCCACTGCTGCAGTTGTCAGGGGCAGGTCTCAGCTGCCCTAGCCTTGCTGCTACTTGTGCTGAGGATGGGTCTCAACTTCCAATCTGTGCTGTTGCTGCTTGGGAATAGATGTCTGCTCCCAAGCCTCTGCTATTGGGGGTGTGTCTTTTCTCCTGAGCTTCAGCTGTCATTGGGGATAGGCTCCACTCCTACCTAGTCACTGCTGCTGTTGGGGATGGTGCTCAGCTCCCAACCAGTTGTGGTTACCACAACAGGCACCTCAATAGCACTGCTAGTATACACTTGTCTGCATTAACACAGCAGGATCCACTGATCCAATGGTACAAGGTGCACTGGTGGACTCGGGTCACTCAGCCCTAGTTGCTCCCTCTTGCCTCCTCCCAGAGAATACCAGGGACCTTCCAAAATGGCAGGGACTTCTAGCCACGCAGGTAGAAGCGCCCTGAGAAGCCACTTACTATAGTAGCCAGCTGCTCCCCATCCACAGCACAGGAATCTTCTGCACCATGGTTCTGCACTACTCAAGGTTGCTCATCCACACTCACATCCACTCACATGCTCTCTCACACTCGCTCACACACCCTCACTCCGGTTCTGCTGGCTACCATCTTTTTCTGGTCACTCACACTCCATGTGTTATTTTGGGGGAAGGGGCAGGGATATGACAGTCAGTGACAGTGACAAAAGGAGAGAGAGGTGGGAGAGGCAGATTAACCTTCTTTTCTGGACCCTAAAAATTCTGTAGAGTTTGGGAAGGATTATAGATGTCTCCAACTGTTCTGAGTTTTCAGACTCAAACTGTGGATACTGTGGGGATGACTTCATCATGGCCATGACTAATATGACAGAATCTTGGCTGCAGGAGGATGGAGAGGGCTCAGGAAGCCATGGCATTGATCTCTATTGGTGGAGAAGGGGATAATGGATTGAAGATACTACCAATCACCAGAATTTGGTGAGGGCAGAAAGTGAGTTCCCTGAAAAGCCTAAGAATGTCATGAGAGGGATGTGTCTGGGGTCTTGCAGGAGGCTATTCACTTTAAAAGGGTGTTCTGTGGTGTTGAGCGGGTGTTCATTGACCTTCCTCCTGCTCAGTTGCAGTTACGTGGCCAAACACTGATATCAAGGCGTGTGAGAAGAACGTCTTCCAAGACATGTGCAGACGCCACTGTGAAGATTACAGAGATTGTCAAGAAAATAACATATGCTGTTTAGCCTATTGTGGAAACATTTGCATGAACACTCTCTAAGTGGGAGAGAGGCTGGGCTGTGCATTCTGCTCCCCCAGCCCTTCACTTAAGACTGTGCCAAAGAATAATGACCTCAGATCTCAGGCACACAGTGGTATCAACATCAATGCCACCCTCCCCATTGTCTGGATGGCTTGTTCCTGTCAAATAAACCAGAACAAATGCCCAAGGACCTGCCTATTTTATTCCCAGGGCTGTGATCATTGAACACCCAGTGCAAACCCCCAGGCGCCCCCGCCTCCCTGGGTCCAGGTCCCTGCTCCCTCTCTCCTTGCCATTCTTCTCTTCTCTCTCCCTTGGGCCCACACACCCCAGCCAGGTCCCCGGAGGCTCTGCTCCCTTGTTGCTCCGCCGACTGAACCAGTACTCCCAGGGAGAGAAACTGCTCATGTGTGGCATCCCCCAGTTCTAAAGAGAACATCCTCACCCTGGAGTCACAAGGGCCACATTAACCATGAGCCAGGTGCAGGCTGAACCCTGGGGCATAGAGTTGGAGGCCCCCAAGGAAGCCTCTTGCCTAACTTGACCCACACCTGTCCCTTTCTTTCCATTCTCCCTGCAAAGTTCAGGTAGCTCTCCCTTTATAATGAAGAAAATGAACCCCAGAGAAGTTAAGTGTCATGCCCAAGGCCAAAGAGAGAGAGGCCATTCATGATATGGCTAGAGGAGGGTGTTTCCTCTGAACTCCCTGTTTGCTGGCTTCTTCTTCACTGTAGAGAGACCATAGACATGGAAATGAGTACCTGTGCCAAGCCCCAACTTTCCTACTCCATCCTCCAGAGTATGGCCACTCTTACCATGGGGCCTGGAACAGGGTGCCAGGACCTGAGACTCCAGTGCCTTCCATTAACTGAGTGGTCCCTACCTTTCCCGAATCCTCCTACTTATGGCCTCATTCTCTCTCTCTCTCTCTCTCTCTCTCTCTCTCTCTCTCTCTCTCTCTCTCCCTCTCTCTCCCTCTCTCTTTCTCTCAATCCAGAGGGTAGCCACGGGTTGGAGGGACAGGTGGTTTCATTGTGATGTTGCTAAGGATTTACTGGCACAGGATGGCTATGAGTCTTGTGCATGGTTTTATGGTGAGTCCGTGAGATTTAGTCACTGGGATATAGCAATCACAACCCCTGAAGTGGTCCTGAGGCTAGATGCAGGGACTGAGTCAGGTGTGGCCAATCAGGACCTGACATCAAGTGTGGAGAACTCAGCCAGGCAGGCCATGCTGGAGACAGGTGAGTGGTGTGACATTCCAGTCCAGTACTTCCTGCTGGGTATCAAGGCAGGAGACACCAAAGGAGGAAATCTGTCTCCATCAGGCCAGAGTCTCTGACCCACCTCAGAAGCATCACAGGGCTCCTCGTATTATGGATCTCCTCCATCTGTGCTAAGAGCTGCCCTTGGACAAGGGGTTCTTGGGAAAGAGGTCATGACCAACTACCAGCACAGACATCATTAGAGGAAGGTCAGTGATAAGGGATGCACTACAGAAGTTTTTATTTGTTTCTTTCTCTGATGACCTCACTCTCCAAGCATCTTTCCAGTGCTTGGCCATGTCAAACACCCTAGAAGAGACTATTAAGAGAGGCAAGGTTACCTGCCAGAACCCACATATTAAATGGCCTCCCACATCCAAGTTTAGTGGTCACTACCATGTGGGTGCACTGTAGGTGCCAGGCTCACCTATTCTGTGCCCCTGGCATGAGCACTATGGACCATGAATAACACTGGAAACAGTTGTTCTTCCTTGTGATAACTGGTGCCCTGAGATGTGTTCCAGAGAGTTCTCTAGACACTCCACCATGCTCCATGGTACTCAGAGACTACACCTAGAATACTATGGCTGAGAGGAGTTCTCTCCTGGACATCCATGCTCTGTCTTGTTAGAACAACTATGTGCCTCAGTACAAGGTAGAGTAGAAGAGTGGGTACCCCTGGAAGACCTTGAATCTCATGGAGGCAAAAGAAGAAGCAAATGCAAATTCTTTCATCATCTGAATATTTATAATGTTAAATCTCAGCCTGCAGGACTCTTAGTCTCATGGTTGCCTTGGGTTTTGCATTATTTGTTACCGTCTCATGCTCCAGACCTGCTCTTCCCTTATGTCAATACAGATGGGAGTGCTCTAAAAGTATTTCCATCTCATACATCATGATGTTGGTCAACTCCTGCCTCATTTCCATCCTTTGGCTGCCCCCAGTGCTCTCAGGTAGGTCCATACCAATGTCTCCACCAGCAAAGTGTGTTCCACCCCATATCTGGTAGTTGTCTGTCATAACAAAGTCAGGATACCTGATTAAGAAGCCACAGGAAGTTATCTAGAATGCAAGGGTTGGGCTTAGGTTCTGAGTGCCACATCTACCAACCAAGAAATGCGCTTTGAATCAAATAAAATTAGAATGGGCATGAGATTCAGGATTTAAGGAAGGTTCTAGCCAAAGGAAGTTATTACTAAGTTTAAAATTCTACCATTAAAATTACATTCTCTAAGATTATACCCATCAGGTAATGTAGTATTTAGTGTTGGGAAGAGTTCACTTCCTAAAGATCATTAATGAGGGGATGTGAGAAGGTAGAAGTAAGAATCTAAGTTAGAAGACACCAAATATCTGATTTCCAAGACTATTCTGGGTCATTGTTTCTGGGCATATGATGGTCCTCTTTTATGTTGATTCAGGTGTTTTTTGTGTTTTTTTTTTATTTACACAAAGGTTTCTTGGATTGTAGTGTTTAACATTAGTTACTTTTCTTTTTTAAAAACTCCGATTATTATAAATTTATATTTTCTTTGCCCATCTTCTTTATTAATCTTTCTCTCTCTTGTTGTTTTTATTTTTTCCACTTTATTTTTGGTCCCCTGGCTTTTTTCATTCTTTTGCTTAATACTTGTTATAGTTTCGTTGCATTTGTTGTCTTGAGTATCTTGTAACAATCTTTATTTCTAGGATGACTTTTATTCTTTTCTTCAATTGTTTATGTTCTGTCAACCCCTTATTTTTTATCTTCCTGATTTTTTGGTCTACTTAGGTGCTAAGTTTTTAAATGCCTGATAGAAGGCAGTTTTCATATGTCAAAATATTTGTTTACAGATATTTTAATTAAAGTTACAATGTTGTATTGAAATTTGGGAGAATTTTTTAAATAGAGATATTTCAATCTTCATTTTTTGTTTTCTTTAATAGCATTTTTACATTGAAGTCTATTTTTCCATTAGCTTTGCAACATTTTATTTTAACAGACAATAGTAAGAGTTTTATGCTCAAATTGTTCTCAGCATTTCCTTACTTTCTGACCCTAAAAGATGTCTCACTTTGTATTTTCGAAGCCCAGATCTAGAATCAGCCATTTCTCTAAGAAGTTTTGGTTCATAATTGGAAAATGGTTTTTAGAAACCAAGATCAAACCTCTTGTGTGCTTATTTCTACTGTGGTATCACTGTTTCTAGGCACTTTCAGCAGACACAGCTAGGAAATATAGGTATGTGTAACTGGTCCAAGTATACACATGCCTATAAGTATTTCTTTATGTGTCTATCTGTATGTAGATTAAGCTAAACTCAAATTCATATTGATGTCTCTGAGTACCTCCAGAGTTCATTCTAACAGTCTCCCTTGGCTTATCTATAACTTCTTTTTTCTGACAATTAGAAACCTGACTCTGACGATCTACCAGTTATTTACTTATTTATTCAATCATATATATATATATATATATGAAGTCATTTTAGAATTGTTTACCCTATAAGAAACCAATTTACCAGAGACCTACTCTCTGAAAAACTGAATGAAAGGGCTGCTTCCCAATCGCCCACATTAAAATGGCATGTGAAAAATAAACTATTCTATGAAGCCCACAAGATTAGCCTATCAGTTCTAAGGTAATCAGATAGGAAAGGAAGTGTTGGAAGCTTATGTACACTATAGGGTAAGAACCATTTGGGAAGTTATAATAAAGCAATCAAGGGTAGTGGAATGGAGTAGAGAAAAGCCAAAGGCCATTGTTGGTAAATTAGTTTATTTGTCAAGGATTTGCTACTGCCCAGCCCTCAGTGAGAACCGACTGGTGTCCTGGGTAAGAGGTTACGGTTTTAGCGACCTTTTATAGGTTTTCTGCAAGAGAGAAAGGTGGTAAGTTAAGAGGTTAGAGAACTCTGAGAAACAAATGTTCATTCCCAAGCTTAATTATTACCCATTCCGCCAGACCCTGTGATAGGTATACTTTATGTAACAATAGGAATTGTCCACTTCTGAATGGGTAGGAAGTGTGGTATTGGGTGATTGAATAGAGAAAGGTAGAATTTGGGGCCTGGCTGAGCCAAAGGGGCTCATGGAAATGTCTGACTATGGAAGCGATGGTTAGAAATTTGGATGAAAATTAAGAAAAGAGCAAACTGTTGAGTAATATAATGAGGAGAGCACGGGCATTGATTATATAATAAAAAAAGAATGTACCCCAGCTTGATGTCTTGGTTTATTAGCCAGTGAATTGCTTTCCAGTTTTAAGGGACATCGTCTTCTGCTCTTTTGGTACCTAAAATTTGGGGTACATCAGTCCTCTGGGAATAACAGCATCTCAGAAGAGGGTGAGAATCAGTGAAGACAAATAGCCAAGCACATATCTCCCAACTCACTCTAGTTTGCCAACAGATGTTTCCACAGTAAGTCCAACAGCATATGTAATTTTTTTTTGAACACTTGAAGGTTTTAGAACACTTCTTGGTACAGTCATGGATGTTTGGATATCCCCAGCACTCTTCAATTAATGTGTTATCCCCTGAAGTTGAGATGAAACTGTAAGAGGGTAGCAAGTATGGGAAGAGAAGCCCTTCATAGCTTAACAATCCTTCCAAGAATCCAAGCCCAAGTTCTCAGCAAGAGAACTGTCTATCTGCCTAAAAGAAAATCCTCTTCCTGAGCCTCCTCATTGCATCTTCATGATATTTTTCCCTTCCCTGTTCCCACAGGTCCTACCTGTGTTGCAGATCTTTGGACCCTCTTTGAGCATCCTAGAGATAGGACTCAATGTACTTCCAGCCTTCATGTGCTCTCCTTTAAAATCTACACTTCTATAACGGAGATCTCAGGGCCTGAGATATCCTCTAGCCTCATTACCATGCCTATTTCACAGTGCAGGAAGACAGACCAGAGAGAGGAAGGAGCAGATTCTCTCCCTTTTTCGTCCCCTCCTTGCTGACCCTGCCTTTAATAACGCAGCCTCTCTTCAGATTCTTCTCTCTCACTCAATTCTTTGGCCCCCTCCACTCACTTCTCTTTTTCATCATATGGCCCTCATCTTAGCCCCACTAAGGACTCGTCTCATGTTTCTTTTCTATCTTTTCACATATCCTACCATTAAAGCAAAGGGTATATATCTAAGAAATGCCTACTTGGTACTCATCAAAGTACACACAACTAGGACACCGAGCTTCTAAAAGTATGGGAAGCTATAGCAGCTCTGTATTGATGCTCCCCTCTCAAAGATAGCCTGACATGGGGAAATAGTATATCCTTATTACCTATGGAATGTGTGTAAAAGTGGACAGATATTCATTACCACTTTCAAAATTGAAAGAGAAAACATTAAGGGACCTCCACTTGGGAATTTCTTAAATCTCTGTGCATAAAAATATTGTGATTCTCCAATGCGTGACCCAGAGAAGGTAGGACCTGAATCACATGTGCCAGACACAATAACACCCCTTTACTTATCCAGAAACAAGCACAACAAACCCCCACCCTTTGTCTCCAACCCAGCCTCATCACCTATGACTGGTTTTTCCTTAAGATCTCCCAGCACAGACAGTAGCACCATACACAGGACTGTCACGAGTAGAGGTGTCCAGAGCTTCATGATGCTGACCATATTTGTCTGAATATCTATGGTCAGGAGTTTTTTCCTTCCCAGTTACTGCTGGAGATCAAGAGATAGCAATAGAGTTGTCAAGCAAGAGGAAGTGCTCATAGAGTTTCTTTACACTCTGTCATCTAATTATTACTCCTTGCCCCTACCCACCCAACAACAGGCACACACATCAGCGGAACACTGCTAGGTCATCACACACTCTGTGTCTTCCTTGTGCAGAAAAAAATGCATATATTTACAAATGTGTTGCCTTCCCCTAAGTGAAAGACCATTCAAATTCAGCATACAAAATTCTCAAAACGCTAAAAAAATACAAAGTAGACAATGAGATATTTCCAGTAACCCCACTCTCTTGGCATATGTTATTCTGTCTTTTATATGCACATATATATGAACATGAATTGTTTTTGTAAAACGGAAATCGTATCAGGCTTGCTATTATACATCCTGACTTTTATTTAGAAATTTTTAACATGACATTAAAATGAAAGTTTTGGCCAAGACCTGTGAGACAGATCAAATTGTAGGACTTTTAGAAAGAGGGAGAGAAAGTGGCCAAAAAAGAGGTCAAGGGACTCTTAAAACCTTTACTCATTTTAAAGGTGGAAAATGGTCAGGAATTTGACATATTTTTTGGAGGAGATCTTCGAGCAGATTTTCTTTCAAGAATGTTGCACTCTCTTAATTCCGAGTCACTAGAAAGGCCTTAATGATACCTCCCACTGAACTTTGTCTGTGCTCCAAGGGTTTGTGGAGACCCAGTAGACAGGTGGAGACCCAGTCACACCTGAGAACACAAAATCCTAAAAGGCTGGCCCAAGGGACCTATGACCACATGAAAGAGGCTATAGCTTGTACTAATTTGACAGGGAAAATGCAAGAAAGAGCCAGTGTTATCCCAGGCAGGTGCCTGGGAGGGCCATTGGCCTCAGCAGAGGTAGTTGAAAGTGGGTGGCCACATCCCTAAACCAGCCAGAAATGAGCTGGATTCAGCCATATCAAGAGAACCACAGCTGAGAAACTTCCATCAGTTGGGGTGTGGAGAAACTCAAAGAACCCAGAAAACTACCCACCACAGAGTCCATTTTAAGCAACACTACATCCTGAAAGCACAAACACACGGGTACCTGCCAAAAAGAACTGTCTAGAATGCCTTACCTCTTCTCCTTCCTCCACCTCCAAAATGGCACCTAGCCAACTGCAGGCAGAGAGGAGAGAGAGGAAACTGACCACTCTCTTTCCCAACTGCAGGTTTCTGGGTGGGGGGAAGCCACAATTTTCATTCAAGCTTAGTGGTTTGACGGTTGCATGGGCTTAGACTTTCTTATATGTTCTAAATTTAGGCAGTGTCTAAAAAAGTCAGGTTCTACACCCAAGCTCTCCTACAGAAGTGGGGAAAGAAGTACCTCTCCCGAATAAATTTGAGACAAAGAGCAAGTCTCCCATGAATATTTTCCCAACAGATTCATTACACATATCATTCATATTTTCCCATTAATCATAAGACACCTAAAATTTTGTAATTTCTCCTCCCTAGAGAAAAAATAACATCATTGGGAACTTTCTTGCAACTAAAATTTGGTTAAATGCAGATTTAGCCTCAGAGCCTAAGTTTGCCTATCTCAAACCCTAGATAGTTGTTGCCAGTTTTTTCTCTGTTACAATTGGTTTATTTGACCAACTGGTGTGGCTTAGTGGATTGAGCGTCGTCCCATGGACTGAGAGGTCCCAGTTTGATTTCTGGTCAGGGCACATGCCGGGATTGCGGGCTCAACCCCCAGTCGGGGGCGTGCAGGAAGCAGCTGACTGATGTATCTCTCTCACATTCATGTTTCTCTCTCTCCCCCTTCCTCTCTCTAAAAAAAAAAAAATCAATAAAAACATATTTTTTAAAACATTGGTTTATTCTACAAACAGGATACATATCTTGTGTCACCACAAGAGGGAAATTTCTCTCCCACTGTTACCACACTGAAGACTGTCAGGATAGTATAGGACAGAGAACGAAACATGGGTACTGGAGTTGGAGAGACCTGGGCTTGAAACCCAAACCTGACACCTTTAGTTTAATTCTTATATGATTGGCCAAATACCTAACTGCTCAGAACCTCAGTTTTCCCCATCTGTAATATGGGGGTGATATTAGTATCCACATTGCAATTGTTGACTATATGAAGCACTGAGCATTTGACTTGGCACAGAATATGCAAAATAAATGTTAGGTATTATTATTATTATTATTAATATTAAGCTCAGACTCTCTTTTCTTCTCCAGAGGAAAGTTATTTCATGTCATTGACTTCACTGTGGTCTTACTTTTTTAACTGTTTAACCTATTTGAAATTAATTCTGATAAGTGGGTGATACTCTATCCTTTGTTCATCTGTCCTAAATTTGTTTGTCTCACAAATGCCTCCATGAAGTGATTACTATAAGCCAAGCACTATTCTAAATGCTGAGAATGTGGTAATAAACAAAACCAGCAAAATCTCCGCCTTTATAAAGTTTATATTCTGAGAAAGGGGACACCCAACAAACAAAATAATAAAAGAAATACACAATAATAGAGGGAGATCAATGTGAAGGGGAAAAAATAAGAGAGGGTCTAGGACCTGGAATGACATGCAAAATAATTGGTGGCTGTTATTTTAGGCAGCTCCCTGTTGGTGAGAGAGGGGTTCTGAAGGAGGAGGTTAAGTACTGTTCCAGAAACTTCCTTTCCCCAGTCCTCTCACTCCCGACCTGGTGCTTCCCTCGACTAAGCCAAACAGAAAGGAAGAAAAGTAGCAAAGACAAAGAAGTCTGGATACTATGAATAATACAGTCACAATGGAGTAATTGTCTCTTTCCCTGCAAGTCAGCAATTTTCTCCCAAAGTCTTTATTTTTGCTTTGGTGTTTTCAACCAAGCAGAAGATAACCAACATGCATTGGTCGAATCCCCCAATGCGCAAAAGCAAGCATATGTAGAGACATTTTTTTTTTTTTTTTTTTTATCTTCACCCGAGGACATTTTCCCATTTTTTGTTCAGGTAGAGTGGGAGGGAGAGAGAGGAACAGAGAGAGAGAGAGAAACATCGACGTGAAAGGAACACATCGAGTGGCTGCCACCCGCACGACCGACCAGGGCCGGGGACAAACTGCAACCGAGGTACGTGCCCTTAGCGGGAACTGAACCCGGGTCTCTCAGGACCGCAGGCCGACGCTCTAACCGCTGAGCCAAACCGGCCAGGGCTGTAGAGACATTTTAAAAGGTGCAAAACTCTTGGCATATGTGAAAAAAACAACATTTGAGGCACATGAAGCTTTAGATGGGATTCCTTTGTCTTTTTAAAAAATATTACTTGGAAATGTTTTCAAAGTTACAAGAGTAAGAATAGTACTAAAAGCATCTGAATACCATTTGCTCAGATACACCTATTTTAAGAATTTACCTCTAAATACCTTATCTCTCATATATATATATTTTAAACCATTTGAGAGTGTCATATATCATGGCTCTAATTTAGGAATAATGCTTCTGTGAGTATTAAAAAATAGGACATTCTCTTATATGACCATAGTTCAACTGTCAATTTCATATTAATAAAATATACTTTTATATTTTAATCTACCATAAGTATTTCATTTTATAAATTCACCCAATAATGTCTTTTGTCTGTTATGACACTGAAATTTTTGAATGCTCCAAATAAAAAAACAGCAATTTTTTTCTTTTAATTCAACCTTTTTTTTTTTTTCTTTTTAATCCTCACCCAAGGATATTTTTCCACTTTTGTTAAGATAGAGTGGGAGGGAGAGAGAAGGAGAAACATTGACGTGAGAGGGACACATTGATTGGTTGCCTCCCGCGTGACCCCAACTGCAACCGAGGTACGTGCCCTTGACCAGAATTGAACCTGCGACTCATTGGTCTGCAGGCCAACACTCCAACCGCTGAGTCAAACTGGCTGGAGCAATTCAATGTTTCTTATCTGGGATTCTTCTGAAACTTCCTGTTTCATAAGCCTCAGGCTATGTATTCTCAGTTGAAATACTATGTAAGAAACATATAGTGTCCTTCTCAGGGTATTACATGTGAAGGGACATGGTGTCCATCCATGTCATCTTTCTGTCTCAGTTTTTCCATCTGAACACCAAGGACAATAATTTCTCCTATAGAAGAACAGCGTTGGAGTAATCTGGGCACCTGATTTGAACAGGGAACTCACCCAAGTCACAAACAAAAGTGTTCTCAGGCTCACACTTACAGCCCCAGGACTCTGACATCTACCTACCTCTGAAGATGTTCCAGTTGGAAGTGCTGGTGATTGTTTCACAGCAGGTTCTTCTTCCTGTCTTCTGGGAACCACAGAGCCCCTACACAGGGGGCAGACAATGAGCAGAACAGATTTCAGACTCCGAATGTGATCATGGTTCTGGTTCCGGCAGATCGGTGAGTTCTGCCCCAGGCCATAAGTCGGATGCGTACAAACTGTCACTGAATTCCTGTTCAAGGAGTACTTTGTTTTTTCTTTTTGCTGCAGATAATATAGATAGAAGCCCAGCACTGTGAAATTGCAGGAGCTTCCTGTCTCCTAACACACACATTTCCTGCAAGTCTGGGTGATTTTGAAAGTGGAGAAAGATCTGTGTATCTACTTTTCTCTAGCATTTATGTGATGACTTTTGTAAAGCCCCATCCATCTCTATATTAATTTCTCCACTGCTAGCATCAGCCTAACACCACATCATCAATGTCTCGAAGCTTTTGTGCTGTTGAAAAGAGAAGGCTCTAGCTAGAGAGCTTAGAAAAGGTCACATGACATGGAGATTTATAGCACACACTTAACCTGTGTTCAAACCCTAGGTCCCACTTACTTTGAACAAGTTGGTTATCCACTCTGTGCCCGAATTTTCTCATTTGCAAAGTGGGGATAATAACAGCCCTTTCCTCATATGGTTGTTGTGAGTGTTACATGAGTGATTACTTGTTAAGCACTACGAACCAATGTGTAGCATTTAGGCAGTGCTATGGGAGGTCCGTTAAAGAAATAAACAAGACATTCACCCATTGAAGTGGCAAGAGTTAACCCAGTTTAAACCACGACCCATCACCAAGATCACTCTCACTAGGTGCCCTTCAGTGCTACCAGAGGAGCATAATGGGAATGGGAACTCCAGAGGCCAAGCTAACTGTGGATAGCTCTGGCTAAGTCCAACTGAGGCTTGGAGTATTCCCAGAGCTGCCTGAGTAGAATGAGGTGCTTGGAGAATGAGGTCATCGGAGGAAGCGGCATTATAAGAGCTCCTGAAGAGCATCCCTTACTGCCCATCTATCACTGATGTCTGTGCCGGTGGTTGGTCATGACCTCTTTCCCAAGGACCCCTTGTCCAAGGGCAGCTCTTCGCACAGGTGGAGAAGATCCTCAATACCAGGAGCCCTGTGATGCCTCTGACGTGGGTCAGAGGCTCTGACCTGATGGAGACAGATTTCCTCCTCTGGTGTCTCCTGCCTTGATGCCCAGCAGGAAACACTGGACTGGAATGTCACACTGCACACCTGTCTCCAGCATTGACACCAGGTCCCAATTGGCCACACATGACAGTTCCTGCATCTAGACCCAGGATCACTTCACAGGAGTTGTGATTGCACAGAATAGTAGGGAGACTGTACCCCAGTGACTAATTCTCACAGACTCATCATGAGACCATGCACAAGACTCATTCATAGTCATCCTGTGCCAGTTAATCCTCAGCAACACACAGTGGAGCCACCTGTCCACCCACCCTGTGGCTTCCCTCTGGATTTAGAGAGCGCATGAGGCCATACGTAGGAGGATTCGGGAAAGGTAGGGACCACTCAGTTAATGGAAGGCACTGGAGTCTCAGGTCCTGGCACCCTGTTCCAGGCCCCATGGTAAGAGTGGCCATACTCTGGAGGATGGAGTACGAAAGTTGGGGCTTGGCACAGGCACTCATTCCATGTCTATGGTCTCTCCACGGTGGAGAAGAAGCCAGCAAACGGAGTTCAGAGGAAACACCCTCCTCTAGCCATATCATGAATGGCCTCTCTCTCTTTGGCCTTGGGCATGACACTTAACTTCTCTGGGGTTCATTTTCTTCATTATAAAGGGAGAGTTACCTGAACTTTGCAGGGAGAATGGGAAGAAAGGGACAGGTGTGGGTCAAGTTAGACAAGAGGCTTCCTTGGGGGCCTCCAACTCTATGCCCCAGGGTTCAGCCTGCACCTGGCTCATGGTTAATGTGGCCCTTGTGACTCCAGGGTGAGGATGTTCTCTTTAGAACTGGGGGATGCCACACATGAGCAGTTTCTCTCCCTGGGAATACTGGTTCAGTGGGCGGAGCAACAAGGGAGCAGAGCCTCGGGGACCTGGCTGGGGTGTGTGGGCCCAAGGGAGAGAGAAGAGAAGAATGGCAAGGAGAGAGGGAGCAGGGACCTGGACCCAGGGAGGCGGGGGCGCATGGGGGTCTGCACTGGGTGTTCAATGATCACAGCCCTGGGAATAAAATAGGCAGGTCCTTGGGCATTTGTTCTGGTTTATTTGACAGGAACAAGCCATCCAGACAGTAGGGAGGGTGATACCCTGTGGCCAGGATTTGAGGTCTTGTGCTTTGGTGGTAGGCACAGTCTTAAACAGAGGGTTGGGGGAGCAGTATACACAGCCCAGCACCTGCTCCCACTCACAGGAGGCTCATGCAAACGTTCCCACAGAAGGTTGAGCAGCACACAGTATCTGATTTTGGACACTTTTGGAAATATGAGCAGTGGTTGATGCAAATATTTATGCTGGGTTGCTTGTCACAAGCTGTAAAACCTAAAAGGAACAGGAGCAGGGTCAGTGGAACCAGGCCACACACAGAGCACTCCTCTCAAGCATCAAGTCTCCTCATGACCCCAGACCGCAGGCCCCATTCATGTCACTATTGGACTTTTCAGGGAACTCACTTTCTGCCCCTCACCCAATCCTGGTGATTGGTAGTATCTTCAATCCATTAATCCCCTTCTCCACCAATAGAGATCAATGCCTAGGCTTCCTGGACCCTCCCATCCTCCCGCTGCCAGGACTCTGTCTGTCATATTAGTCATGGCCTTGGTAAAGTCGCCCCACAGAATCTACATTCTGACTCTGAGCACTCAGTGGAGTCTGAGATGTGACAGAATTTGCGTCCTCATTGTGGTTTCATTCTAGCCCTACTCCCACAAGCATCTCTGGATGTTTATTTGTCACGTATGTGCTGAAACCAAAGAACTGATTCTCAGCCTGTGCACCGTTCACTCTTGTATGTACCATATCTCTCTGGATTTTTGGAATGGAGAATAAAAATATGTAGGTTCCCTCCACCCCAGTCACTAGTCCCAGGGTCGGGTAAAGGGGCTAGAGGGCAATGGTTTGAAAGAAACCAGAGTCTTCATAGTGATGTGGTTGGAGCTGGATGTGCTGAAAGGTTCCAAGTCCCAAGTCCTCCTTAGTCCCTCCTTCCCCCTCCCCATCCCTGTCCCCCCAGCCCATCACCTACTTGGCTTCTTGTTCCGATTAAAAAGCCCTCCCTGGGCCTGCAGCAGCAGGACACAGAGAAGCAGGATGGGCAGCAGAGCCTGGGTTGGCATGACTCTGACCTGAGCAGTGAGCTCTACGTCTGGCACAGACCTTCCTGGAAAGCTGGTGAGAGGAGGGAAGGAAGAAAGGTTGTCCCGGGCTCCTCCCTGCCTCCACTGGCAAGGGCAGGGCAGGGCAGGGCAAGGAGTAGTTGTTTCCTCCCCTGTGCCTGCCCCTTCCCATGGCCTGTTCTCTGTGGGACTTGGCTTCTGCAGAGACTGCCCTTCCTGTCACCTAACTAACCCTCTCGTTTGCAAACAGATTTTTTTTTCCTGAAAGATATAATATTTTCTATATTCTAATTAGAAAATTATTTATAGAAAAATTTAGAGCCCAGCCAATGTGGCTTCCTGAGTTTTGGGCTCCATCCCCAGTAGGGGGTGTGCAGGAGGCAGCTCATGGATGTTTCTCTCTCACATCGATGTTTCTATCTCTCCCTTCCTCTCTCTCTCAAAAAAAATCAGTAAAAACATATTTTTTTAAAAAGAAAAATTTAAAGAAAAAGACATTGTATATGTAAAAAGATATGGAAACAAACTAAGCCCATCATTGGATAAATGAATAAAGCAGATGTGATATAGTCTGGCCAGTGTGGCTCAATGGTTGAGCGTCGACCCATGCACCAAGAGGTCGCCGGTTCTATTTCCGGTCAGAATATGTGTCCTGGTTGTGGGCCCGACCCCCAGTGGGGGGCATGCAGGAGGTGGCCAGTTGATGTTCTCTCTCATTAATGTCTCTGTCTCTCTCTCTCCCTTCCTCTTTCTCTAAAAATCAATAAAGGAAAAAACAATTTTAAAAAAGAAGATGTGATATATATATAAACGGAAAGTAGAATGGTGGTTACCAGGGGCAGGAGGTTGCTAAGAGAATAGATTTTAAATGTCCTCATAACACAAAAATTAATAATGATGTGATGTGATGGAGGTGTTAGATAACACTATGTTAGTAACCATTTTGCGATGTATACATGTATCAAATTAACATGTTGTACACCTTAAGCTTACACAATGTTATATGTCAATTATTTCTTAATAAAGATGCAAAACCTAATAAATATAATATACATAAAAAAACACATATGTATTTTTCCAGCTGTATTAAAATATAATTAAAGTTTATCAATTATATCTTTTTTTTGGGTACATGCCCTTAGCCACTAGGGCCTAGTGGGAACTGAACCTGGAACTCTCTGGTCCACAGGCTGAAGCTCCAACCGCTGAGCCAAACTGGCCAGAGCTCAATTATATCTTAATAAAGCTAAGAAATGTACATTATACACATGTATTTTCCAGATTTATTTCTATATTGATTATAATTAATATAACAAAATATATTCTATATTATATATATAATTAATTAATAATCAATATATCAAAAGAGAGACACTACAAGAAGACAGGGAAAGAATGGGAGCACATAGTAGGTAGCTTAGAACTCAGACAGGGGATACGCCTGGATATACCAGATGTCTTGGCCAGTTAATGTAAACCAAATTCTCTGCCTTTAGTTATATCAATGCTTTTACAATGGACCCATGAGTAGGGTGGCCATGATGACAAAGACATAGGCTATGCATGAATATGAGTTCATAGGCACGAAAGCTGATGGAGCTACTGCTTTGTTAAATGTACAACCTGGCAGCTGCACAGGACAGGCTGAGCCCCTAATACAGCACCAGTTTTCAGGAAGTGGATCAGCTACTTGATGCAAGTTTGGTACACTATACCCATTCCTCCTTGGAAAGGGTGAGTCACCTTGACTGGGATAAGTACATGTTCTAGGAGCATGATTTGATTTTTCTGTCTGTAATGCCTCAGCGAAGACCAGTATGTGATGCCTGAGAGAGCATCTGATGTACTGACATAGGATTCTGTAAAGTATCTCTTCAAGCCAGTTGACAAATTTTACATCAGAAGAGACGTAATAACAGGTCCATAATCATAAGACCCTATAGAACTACCCCATACTATATCACCCAGAAGCTGTCAATCTGACACTTTGTAGATTGGCCTACTAAAGAAGCATGTAAATTGCCAGTTTGGAGATGACACCTGCAAAGATGGAGCACTTGCCTTTTGGTTGGGAAGTACACTTTGAACCAAAGGCCATTGTGTGCTGCAATGTCTCCAATAGACAGAATACATGAGTCCAGAATCAAGGAACTCTCAGTAAGCCACATCCCACATCCACCCCCAGGAATTTGTGCATCCTACCCCTGCAATGTTGATTCTGTGCATTAAAGAAAAACACAAACAATGCAATTACAAAATTGCAAAGAACTTGAATAGACATTTCTCTAAAGAAGATATGGAAAAGATCAGCTAGTACATGAAAATACTATCAGCATTATTAGTTATTAGGGAAATGCAAATCAAAACCACAGTTAGATACCAACCACTTCATACCCACACGATGGCTATAATCCAATAAAAGAAAAACAGTAAGTGTTGGCAAGGATGTGGAGACATGGAACCCTCATGCATCTGTGATTAAAATGTTAAATGATTCGACCACTGTGGAAACAGTGTGCAGTTTCCTCAAAAAGTTAAACATATGCCCTGGGCAGTTTGGCTCAGCTATAGAGCGTCGGCCCACGGACCAGAGAGTCCCGGGTTTACCACTAAGGGCATGTACCTCGGTTGCAGTTTGTTCCCGGCCCTGGTTGGGGTTGTGTGGGTGGCAGCCATTCAATGTGTCTCTTTCACATCGATGTTTCTCTCTCTTCCCCCCTCTTGCTGTATCTGAAGATAAATGCAAAAATGTCCCCAGGTGAGGATAAAAAAAAAAAGTTAAACATATGACCTATCAATTTCAATTTCACTCATAGGTATATATTCAAAACTATTCAAAGAAGTACTAAAAAAATTACTTGTATATGAATGTTCATACTACATTATTCACAATCATCAAAAGGTGGAAACAATCCAAATGTCCATCAACAGATGAATGGATAATCATATTGTGGTATATACATACAATAGAATATTACTGAGATATATAAATGAATAAAGTACTGATACATACTAAACATGAATGAATTTCAACAACTACAAAGATAACATTTTCACTTATCACTTTGGCAAAAATTCAAAAGCATGACAACACATTTTTTTATGGGAAGCACCTGCTCACATGGTTGGTAGCAGTCCAAAATGGTACAAACTTTACGGAGTAGAAAATTTGGCAATATCTCACAAAACTACGCATGAGTTTACTCTTTTAACCAACAACTACACTTTTAGAAATGAACCTAATGTTACACCTCCAGCAATATAAAAAAATATACATATACCTGGCTGGTGTGGCTCAGTGGTTGAGTGTCAACCCATGCACCAAGAGGTCATTGGTTCCATTCCCAGTCAGGGCACATGCCCAGGTTGTGGGACAAATCCTCAGTAGGGGGCATGCTGGAGGCAGCCAATCGATGTTCTCTGTCATCGATGTTTCTATCTCTCTCTCCCTCTCCCTTCCTCTCTCTAAAATCAATAAAGATAAAAGGTTTTAAAAATGTATATATACACATGATTGTTCATTACAGCATATTTGCAATAGCAAAATCTTGGAATACATAGATGCCCATATATGGCAGGTTAGCTGCATGACTAAGGTGTGTGCACATGGAGGCAGAGAATGCAGCTATAAGAAAGGGGAAGTCAGGATATATTATTCAATGAAAACAGGAAGGTGCAAATGAACATATTTGTACAAGAAAAAAAGGAAATTAAGGATTCAAGTAACTATCTTTATCTTACACAAAAATTTCCAAAGAATTGATTGAAAAGGGGAAGGGGGCAGCTATTCAGCTCATTCTGTGAGGTCAGTGTAAACTTGCTACAAAACCGGTCAAGACAATAAGAGAAAAGAAAGTTACAGGCTCAGTTCTCTGGTGAACATAGATGTAAAATTCCTTAAAAGTAACAAACTGAACCAAACAAAAATGATAATACACAATGATCACATTAGGTTACTGTAGAAACGCAAGAATGGTTCAATGTCAGAAAATCTGAAATGTAATTCAATATGTAAACAGATTAAAGGAGAAAAATGCCATCTTAACATATGCAGAAAAAACTATAGATATAATTTCACATAAATCATTAAAAATGTTCTTGTTGTGTCAGGAATGAAAGAGAACTTTCTGAACCTGATAAAAGAGGTTCATGAGAAGCCTAAATCAGACACTATCCTAAAAAGGGAAACTTAAAAAGTTTTTATTTTAAATCTGTTATCAAGCAGGAATACACTATTGCCACTTCTATACAATAACGTATGGGGGTCCTGGCCTGCACAATGAGGCATTAAAAATGACATAAAGTCTGAAAAAGGAAAAATACAATTTATAATTGCCAAATGATGATTGACTACACAGAACACTGAAAAGCATGCACCAAAAAATTATGATAAAAAAAAAATGGTAGTGCCCTGGCCAGGTGCTCAGTGGTTAGCACGTCAGCCTGTGGTCCAGAGAGACCCGGGTTCAGTTCCCTCTAAGGGCACGTACCTCAGTTGCAATTTGTCCCCGGCCCTGGTTGGGTCGTGTGGGTGGCAACCACTCGATGAGTCCCTTTCACATCGATGTTTTTTTTTCTCTCTCTCTCTCCCTCCCTCCCACTCTATCTGAACAAAAAATGGAAAAATGTCCTCGGGTGAGGATAAAAAAAAAAATGGTAGAATTTAGCAAGGGAACTAATTACAGATCAATATACAAAAGTCATTTCTCTAAGTGCCCATCAATAGATGAAGGTATAATGAAGAAGTGGTGCATATATACAATGAAATATGATTCAGCCATAAAAAAGGATGACATTTTGTCACCTGCAGCAACATGGATGGACCTAGAGGGTATTGTGCTGAGTGAAATAAGTCAGACAGAAAGACAAATGCCATATGATTCCACTTATATGTGGAATCTCAAAACCAAAATAAACGAACAAGGAGAAAAGAAACAAACTTATAGATACACAGAACATTTTGATGGTTGCCAGCTGGGAGGGAGGTTAGGGGTAAAACAGGTGAAGGGATTAAGAAGTACAAATTGGTACAGAATTGTTGGGGATGTTAAGTACAGCACAGGGAAAATTGGCACTAATATTGTAATAACTATATGTGGTGCCCAGTAGGTACTAGATTTGTCAGGATTACTTCGTAAGTTATATAAATGTCTAATTACTGGGTGTACACCTGAAACTAAGATAATATTATATTATTGAACATAATTGAAAAGTATCAAAAGTCATTTTTCTACACTAGCAACAAACGGAAAGAAATAACTGAGGAGCCCTGGCCAGTTTGGCTCAGCAGTTGGAGCGTCGGCCTGCAGACCAGAGAGTCCTGGGTTCGGTACCCACTAGGGGCACGTACCAAAAAAAAAAAAGAAAGAACGGAGGAATTACTATACTATTTACAATTTCATTTAAAATTTCAAGCCTCTAGGGACAAATAAAGACATGGAAAACATATTTTGTGAAAGAACATTAACAAGACCTAGATGGATGAGAGATGTAATAAGGTCAAGCTTGCCCTGGCCAGTTATGCTCAGCGGTTAGAGCGTCAGCCTGCGGTCCAGAGAGACCCGGGTTCGGTTCCTGCTAAGGGCACATACCTCGGTTGCAGTTTGTCCCCGGCCCTGGTTGGGTCGTGCGGGTGGCGGCCACTCGATGTGTCTCTTTCACGTAGATGTTTCTCTCTCTCTCTCTCCCTCCCACGCTATCTGAACAAAAAATGAAAAAATGTCCTAGGGTGAGGATAAAAAATCAAAATAAAAAAAAAATAAGGTCAAGCTTAAGGGGATGATAAGGGTGTAGATTTGAAAACTCTACCTAGCCCTGGAGTGGGCGTGGTTGGGAGGTGCTTGGATTTCTGCCAAGCCCTCCTGCTTGGAATACACCTTGAAAAGCCAGTCCTGGGCATGCCTTCACTTTTCCCTCCTTCCCTCTCTTCTCCCCTAAGCTGTGCAGTCAAACCCAGCGGTCCTGAGCCAGGACTTACCACCCGTCCCGCCAGCAGCATGAAGCCTGTGCTGCTTCTCCAACTCCTGCTGTTGATTTATCTGGCACAACAGCTGGTGTCTGGGAGTCTCAAGCAACAATTTCTGAGTAGGTGTTGGGTCCGGGCCCAGGGGAGGGAAGAAGCATCTGTAGATGATGGGAAGATCTGATTCATGGGCACATCTCATGAAAAAAACACAGTATTATGTTCAAGAGTCCAGATTTTATTGTCAGTAAGATCTAGGTTTGAATCCCTGCTCTGTTGCTTACTGAGTGATCTTGGGCACAGTGTCTGGGCCTCGGATTTTATCTTTGTAATGGATATAATGATATTGGGGTAGTTGGGAGGAGAAACTGAGATAATGCATGCAGACATAGAACACTCTTACTGGACCATGGTAAATGCTCGGTAAGTATTAACTACTGCAAATGTTATCAGCCTCATCACCCAGCTTATTCTTGCTGCCCTTGTTCCTTCATGGGTACTGGGGCCAACTTTTCAAGCATTAACACAAAGAGAAAAATTAAGTTGATAGAACTCAAGGAGGAACCTACATAATCTTGTGCTTGGAGGATGTTTTAGGAAGAAAGGAAAGTCTTGCATTTTATTGCATATTTTAAAAATTCAGAGGTCCCCACACCATTACCAATGATTAGCATCAGTGGGAAGGTATAGTCCATCTCAGCAGCCACCATTGCCCAGCTCAACCTAACAAGAGCACTGGCCACAGCAATGTTGACCTTGACCAATACCAAAAGGGAAATGCACTATTATTCATCATGCCTGCACACTTCTGTAGGGAGAACATCTTCAGACTGGGAGCTCAGAGGAGGGATGTACATGGTATCTCATGTGTCGAGGTGGACAAGTTTTAAGGGTCTCAGAGAAGGCATGCAGGTTTGTAAGACCGAGGGAAGCTAAGCAAGCTGCAAGAGAATGGAGGTATCCAGAGTGGAGTTCATTGGAGAATCAAGGACTAAAATTTGGGTAGATGCACAAAGAGACTTTGAAAGACTAGTAAGTGCTGTGAGTGATATTGAAACTAGATACCCAAAAGAGGAGTCAAAACTTGAGAAGGTCAATCTTTCTGAGATCCCTGGCTCCTTCTGCATGCTATTCCATTGAACCCCAAGCTCTCCCAAATGGAAACAAGTTCCAATTTCTTGCACTGACTTAGTGAGCTATAGGATGCCTGGGAGACCCAGGGTGAGTCTGGGTGCTGGTCTCTGCCAGATTATCAGCAGCTTGGGCCTGGGTTTCTTTCACCCCATCTCTGCTGTCATTTACTGTTATACTTATAGCCCAACTTTATTCATTTATTCTTCGGAGATCAGCTTTTATATCCTACAGACCCCATTCTAATTGTAAATACCAGCGGAGTAATAAATCAGCAGGGGCTTATAGAACACCCCACCTTTGACATTTGTCCCAAAGAAAGGGCAAGTCACAAGGTACAAAATGTAAGGCCTGGCTTAGATAAGTGGGTTAATGGAACCTATCCTTAATGCCTTAGAATTTAGGAACTGAGAGAAGATTGTGAGTTGAAGGCCTAGGGCAAGATCTCCTGGTGGAGGTGGTCTTGGCTTTGACCTGTGTACCGGGAGGTAAGGGGAATGAAATGTCAGCATGAAGATGCATATTCTTCTCCTACAGTAGAAAGTGGGGCATCCTGGTGCTCAGCAGAGATCTGGGAAGAAGGAGAAGTTGATCTTTGACCCAAAAGCTGACCTCACTTGAACTACCCACCTTTCTCCCCATGAAAGAAGTCACCCCCAGAACTCATTTGTGATTTGGGTTCTAGCATTCTGATGCCAATACTTTTAGTGTGCTGTGTGGTCTTCATCCTTTCCCAAAATGTTCCCTTCCGCTCATTTTCCCTATACACACATAACACGTGTTAGGTTGTTCTGAGAGGTTTTACAGCTCGCTTGAGACTAGGTAATGGATCAGTGCCTATGACCTACATACCCCTTTCTTGTTCACCATGCACACCACTCATCCCCTTGATCTGGACCCAACCAGACCTATAAGAACTTGGCATCTCATCTGCAAGGAAGGTGAATAACCAATGGATGTAGGGTTCTGACAAACTGTGTCTTTGATCAAATATCCAAGCCCTGGTTTTCCCTGCTTAGAACTATGGAAGGCAGCAGCTGCTAAGAAAACAATCGTACTTCACTTCCCTGTGACCACACGAGCGACATCAGGGTGGCTGGTTTCCTGGCAGTCCCCTGGACTTCTGGAGCTCTGCATGTTACTCCAGGCTGTTGTTTAGGACCTTTTCTTTCCTGTTCTGCGTTCCAGAGTACATTTTGGAACCTCCACCCTGCAGAGTGGACCCTGAAAACTGTACTCAGTTCTGTACATTGCAAGATGATTGCACAAAAGGACTTGAATGCTGTTCTACCTTCTGCGGGATAGTCTGTACAGTAAACTACATTAAAACCCATAAAAGGTAAGGGGCTTCGCCCGACCAGTGTGGCTCAGTGGTTGAGCATCGACCCATGCTCCAAGAGATCACTGGTTCGATTCCCGGGCAGGGCACAGGCCCAGGTTTTGGGCCAAATCCTCAATGAGGGACATGCAGGAGGCGGCCAATTGATGTTCTCTCTTTTCGATGTTTCCATTTCTCTCTCCCTCTCTCTGAAATCAATTTTTTTTTTTTTTTTTTTAATAAATAAAAGGTAAGGGGCTTCTCATGCCCAGCCCTGACTCTGGGGCTGCTAGTGGGAGCTCAACAGAGGAGTCTCTTACCAGCCACTACAATGGATCTCTTTTTCTCTCTAATGTTCTCCTTCTCTTTACCAAGAATAATTTCCATAAATGTAATGATTAAGAGCCTTCCTCTACTCCTGAACTTCAGAATCTTTCTCTCTTCATTACCACATCTGTGAATCTCTGAATCTGCCTGTCTGAATACACCCACAAACCCTTCCATCCACAGACCTTGCCCTGTCCAAGAACCCACTTTTATCCTGGAGTCTGGGACACTCTATCTATCTGGGGGCTGCAAGTGTCACCATAATCCAAAAGCGAATTATTCTGCTTTTGCTTTCTCTCTTCCACCAAACACCATCATTTGACCCCTAGTGTTCCTGGGTGGAGATCTTCCAACCCAACAGAAGCTTTAGTTAATCACTGGGAAAATTAACCAAAGTCTGCTGAGTGGAGATACTCCCAGAGCAGAGAAAGGGCATTAGAGTGCTGAGGAACCATCTAGTTTCTAATCCTATCTTGCAACGGTCTCTCTATGACCTTGAGTAAGACAATTTCCCATTTTTGCTTTTCTTTTTCTCATGCATAAAATGGAGATTTATTTTTCCAAACTTGCAAGATTGTAAGTCCCAAATGAGGTCTCAAAAGATCCACAAGCCAGGAGACTCAACCAGTGAGCTACTAAAATGTCTTGTTTGCCATGGCCAGTTTGACTCAGTGGTTAGAGCCTTGGCCCATGGGCCAAAGTCTCGGGTTCGATTCTGACCGAGGGCACGTACCTCGGTTGCAGATCGTCCTCAGCCCTGGTCGGGGTCGTGCGGGAGGCAACCAGTCGCTGTGTCCCTCTCCCACCAATGTTTCTCTCTCTCTTCTTCCCTCCCTCCCTCCCACTCTATCTGAAGAGAAATGGAAAAATATCCTTGGGTGAGGATTTAAAAAAATAATAAAATGTCTTGTTCTCTGCTGCGTTCCCTGCCCTGAGCACAATACTCTACATGTGAGACAAGGTACAAAGTGAGGAAATACGGGCCTGAAGCCAGACCCCTAGACTCAAATCCTGGCTCTGCCACTTCTTCATTGAGTGACCTCAGACAAGTTAATTCACCTCTCTCTGGGCATCAACTTCTTCGTCTTTAAAACCCAAACAATAATAATGAGATTAAAATGCAAGTGCTGCATAATAATTACTAGGCAAATTTTAGCAATTAGGCAGTCATTTGTCTCTCAATAGACTGGCTCTCGCAATTAAACTTCAAACTTGCAAGATTGTAAGTCCCAAGTGAGGCAGAAGCCTGAGTATGACTGTTGTCACCAAGTTCTTTGAGGTTCTGCTTTTCTTATGGTAGGCAACCTAGCTTCATGGTCTAGTTTTAAAGATGAAAGTAATAAAAGATTTTTTAAAAATTATATCTCTAAGAATAAAATTTCACCAGATAATATTTGAAAATATTTTTCTTCCACAGAACCAAAAAGAAATACTGGAAGAACACGAAGGGCAAATGAGGCAGGTTTCCAAGGGCATTTGGTAAGTATCGGGGCTTGGCCTGGCAGTCTTGATGTGACTTCCCCCAGTTTTCCTCTTATAGCCTCTCTGGAGACACCAATAGTCCCATAAGGTCAGAAGAGCCTTTGTCATTTAGACTGTGTCCCTCCTCTGTTATTCCCCTCCTGGGGCTATGTTCTCACTCCCTGGGGCAGGATGTGGTCCAGGGTGAGTTATGCAACATAGAACAGGCAGAATCATGACCCAGGGGGGAACACAGGGCACTCAGATCTGAGCCTGTGCCAGGGAACAGACTCTGCCAGCCTCCAGGTTGACAGTGTCCTAAGCAGGAAGTCAAGCTGAGCCCTTCACACCCTGTGTGGTCTTGGTTCGCCCACCCTCCACCTCTGAGACCGTCAGCTTCCTCATGTCAAAGATGAAGAGGACATCGTGCCTGGGATTTTGTGAGACGACATGAGACCATGTGAAATGGAAGAACCTGGTCATTGCAAAGATTCTGTAAAGGTTAGAAGCTGCCAGCAACTCACTCTTTCTGGGTTCCAGGTTTTTCCTCTTTAGAAAAAGGAAAAGTGGGGGGAAAGGCTATAACACCTGGGTTCTACCAGGAGCTCAGTATCTTCCCGCTGCAGGGGCCCTGGATTACCTAACAATGCTGATCCATGGACTGGTGGCCAGTGTGTGGCCTGAGTAGTTAATTAGGTACAAGGTGCAGAGGAAGTTAGCATGGCTGACTCACTGGGGCCCGAACAAGCATGAACGTGTGCTCACACACCCACGCCCCTCCACTGGCCTCCACGGGCTACCATTGCTCAAACTCCTTCACACAGTGTTAATATAAGGACAGTCTAAGTGAACATACCACTGTTCTAACTTGCCAACTCTGGTGACTTCAGAAGGATGATTAGAAGACCCTAAGCTCCTCATTTTCCCCCCAAACAGCGTAAAACAAAATCCACCAAGTTATGAATAGTAGCTTTGTTTTGATGGTGGAGTTACAGAGGGATCCATTTTGCTCACCTTTCTTGGGACACTGGTAAAGTAATAAAAATGATCTTTGTGTGTGTGTGTGTGGTTGTTGTTAATCCTCACCCCAAAATATTTTTCCATTAATTTTTTTTAAGATAGAGTGGGGAGGGGGGACTTGGTCAGGAATTGAACCCGCGATTCTTCAGTCCACAGGCCAACACCTCTAACTGCTGAGCCAAACTGGTGGCTCCATTCACTTCTGCTGAGTGGATTTTCAGTTTCCTGTTTCCACTGAGTTTTTCCATTGATGCTCTATCCCCTGCCTTCAACTCAGGCCTCCTAACTCCTCGTTCCCTTTCATACCTAGAAATCTGCCTCACTAAACTTGGTCTCTCTCCAAGACTCTAGGCCCTTTCTCCCTCTGTGCTCTGACTCCAGATCTTCTCTCTGTCCAGAGGTCTTCCTCCCACTGTCCCAATGAGCTCCCACTCATGCTTCAGGTTTCACATTAAATAAAAACCTCCCCGGAAGCTTCACCAATTCACCCCAGATGAAATGAGTCATTGTCTTTGTCCTTTCTCAGGACCCTGGCTTACCTCTGTATTAACCCTTATCCCGCTGCGCTGCGATTATTTAACGTCGCATTTTTTCTGTCTAGGATATGGTCTCATAAAAGCTGCAACTGTGTCTGACTTCGTTACCTCAGAACACTAGAACCAAACTCCGGGCCTTGCACATACCGAGGCCACAATTCTGACTTTTCTAATAGGATGCAAAGGAGGCTGGCAGGGAGTAGACTAGTCCTAACATTTACTGAATTGTTCTCACAAAGAAAAGCTTCATTGCATAGTCCAGAACCCCTGAGTTATCCGCTGCCTGCTGGACGCTGGACTCAGCCTTTTTTTTTTTTTTTTATCCTCACCCGAGTACATTTTTCCATTTTTTGTTCAGATAGAGTGGGAGGGGGAGAGAGAGAGAGAAACATCGACATGAAAGGGACACATCGAGTGGCTGCCACCCACACGACCCAACCAGGGCCGGGGACAAACTGCAACCGAGGTACGTGCCCTTAGCGGGAACCGAACCCGGGTCTCTCTGGACCGCAGGCCAACGCTCTAACCGCTGAGCCAAACCGGCCAGGGCTCAGCTTTTTTTTTTTTTTTTTTTTTTATCCTCACCCGAGGATATTTTCCATTTTTTGTACAGATAGAGTGGGAGGGAGAGAGAGGAAGGGAGAGAGAGTGAGAAACATCGACGTGAAGGGACACATCGAGTGGCTGCCACCCGCACGACCAACCAGGGCCGGGGACAAACTGCAACCGAAGTACGTGCCCTTAGCAGGAACTGAACCCGGGTCTCTCCGGACCGCAGGCCGACGCTCTAACCCCTGAGCCAAACCGGCCAGGGCTCAGCCTTTTTTTTTTACATTTTTTTCTTAAAGACTAATTTATATTTGCTTTTGAAAACTTAGAATAGGCTGGGGGAATTTTTTTTTTTTTTTTAAATAAAAGATAAGAAAAGAAAAAGGAATCTTGGAAATATGTGTTCATGAGGGGTACTGGGGCAAAGTAAGGACTAAGGGTCCTGGCTACTCTGGGACTCAGCCCAGCTCTGCCTTTGCTGACCTGGTGATGCTGGGTGTCTCCAACTCCCCAGTCCCTTCATCTGGAAAGGAAGCCAAATAACACCTCGCCTCAGGAGTGTCAGGCGTGAAATGAGATGACACAGGCAAAACCCATACCCCAGGGCCTGGCAAGAATCTAAGGAGAAAGTTACTATTATTATTTGTGTCCTCTCAATCCTTCCTCTATCCAAAATTCCTGTTTTATAACGAAATCTAAGTGTACATTTCACTTTAAACTCTATGCTTTGTAAAAATTTCTCTAGGTTCCATATAAATCAGCCCCCAAAGAAGACAAGCGCTGTGTCTCTGATCTTTGAAATATCTTCTAAGACCGAACAAAGTATAGTTATGAAAAGTACTCCATCCCTGAAAGATAAAGTGATTAAACCATGTGATGAAGGACCAGCTAGCTGAACAATGATCTCAATTCCTCTACTAAACCTCCAGCAACTGTAAAAGATGTTGCTTCCCTCTGCAAATCTCATGGGAATGTTACCAACTTCGAAATGTATGGTTACCTAGTCCACAATGCCACTCTTCCCCAATCACGTGCCCATCAGATGAACTCTTCCCAAGATAAATTTATCACAATTCTATGTCCTATTCCTCCCTTCTGTGACACCTTCTGATCTGGCTGATCCTTGATGATC